TGATAAAATGTGTGCTAAACATTTGTGGTATATCTCCTTCTGTCCCAAGCTATTCACCTCTTCTATATCCTCGTATCACACCTTCACAATTACAATTTTTCCCTGCTTATTTAAATGTAGTGTGGTGTGCCCTTTTTGGCGGCTTTTATGAGAACCGTCAACACTCTATGCTGGCGTTCTCACCCCCTCACTCCCCTTCAACCTTGTGCTGGGAATGTTGATCAGTCTGCCATATCATTACGCAGTCCTTCTTCCATAAGTCTTGTCAGAGTCTCCTTCTAGCCACGCAGAATCCGCCTGCTATCTCCCCGATTCAAGTATTTCACTCGACCCCTGTCACCACATCGGTGCTCCACGAGGCGTTATTTCCCGCAATGCATCAGCTAGACTAACTTGAGGTTAAAGACCCCGAGTAATTATCATGGTTGAACATTTACTTCATGGACAACGTCTATGGTAAAACAGGCCTACTGTCAGCCAACTAGCTCTAGTTTCCCACGAGTCTATCCTGTTTCTATCCCTAATACCAAGTCTATGAATTGCTATGCCCTAGTTTCTTGTGTGCCTACCCACAAATGTTGTGGTTGCTTGCTTTGATTAGATTTAATGTCGAACCACAACAGTGACTACGATGCCGGCGAAACATCTGGGAATGCACCACGTCAACGGTCCGACTTTGGAAATTATCATGCATACAATGGACTCCGGACTAGGTGTGTTCCTCTAAGTCTTCCTACAAATATGGCCAAGTTGCGAAAACGAAAGGAAACTGCGACCATACAAAAGGCCACACCATCTTGGTCTTCATATCTTCGATCAAACTAAACAAGGTTCATAAAGGTGAAGCAACTTAAACACTGCTGTGACCCAAAAAATGTGACATGAGGTCAAAAAGGAGATGATTAAGTATAGCAAAATATTAGAAGAAAAATTTAGTTGAAACGACTAAGTAATTTGGCCGGCATAGTGCCGCTACAGATGTTGGTGGCTTCAATACATCAAAGTCAACCTCTCTAAAAAGACTTGTTTATACTAGATCCTATGACAAATATTAGCATACAGAGATAAAATCTCAGGTAAGCCCTGATAATTGGTTTAAGTAAATTATTTTTTTATGTAAATAGAGCTTCGAGACTACCAGTAAATCAGTAATATGAGAAGTATTCCCCATTATATTATTTAGGGTGATGAAGGACTGGAAATATTATTTCCCTCAATGATATGATATGATATGCTTTCGCAAGGCTGGATGAGAACAACTTTTGCAAAGGCAAGGCTATATGAAATTCAATCGACACGTCAGCTCTACTCATATCATTGTGGAGAATTATACTATCAGTCCTTCATCAGCTTAAACGAAATATGGTGAATACATCTCATATTAAGTATATTACTTTAAAAAATGTGCACATTGTGACAAAAAATGTACTAAGGATCTCTTATGCACACAGCTATAAAGGAGAATACTTGTAGGATCGATGAAATCGAAATAGGTCAAGTACTTGTGGTCTGTTCTGGAAAGGACCTGGTCTCCGGGCCATTAGTTGAACCTGTGATGTATCAAATCCACTTTCGGAGCCCGATTGCCGCGCTGTATTCATACGCATCGGCATTACTATTGGGGAAACAAAATGCCCTTTCGGATAGGAAACAGGTCCAGGGAGTTGATAGAAAACATTGGTAAACCGTGGATTCGGACAGGTCGACTGTTGTTCTTGAGTTTGTGTTGGCGATAGGTTACGATATAGACCAATTTGCGAAGAAGGGGATCTCGGAGTTAACATCGAATTGTTCATCTGATGGAAGGAACCAAAGAAGCTAGAACTAGGACTAGAACAAGGATAATAGCCAGGACCTAGATTAGGCCAAATTAAATTACATCCAGGGGCGTAGGACATTGTTGGAGATACAACGGATGAACGAGGATCGCGGGGGCGATGATATACAATTCCTGCATTAGGGATCAAGCCGATAGGAAGCGGGCCTCTAGGAGAACGGGCGTAGTCGTGTTCAGACTTGGATTCAAGTAGTCTGATGGAATAGGAGTTATCTGAGCTGGGATCCAAATAAGAAGCACCTCTGAAATGAATGCAATATTTGAGAATGAGGTGATGATATATATGATGGTGACACTAGCATGAACATAGTATTTAAAAATTCAAACGAAAAGGCAAAAAACAGAGATAAAGCAGTGGGAAAAAGCGAGAAGAAAAAAATAACAATGGTTATAGAAAAGTAAGGAAAGGAGAGAGAGCTACTTAACGATATTTAAAAAATATATATATTTTTCTTTGCTAGAAAAAGAATATAAAAGAGTTAAATAGTAATTATTTGACAATGTTTTCGCAGCTTGACCCTATTGGCAGGAAGACCTAGGGGAACACATCTAGTCCGGAGTCCATATTATGCATGATAATTTCCAGTCGGCCTGTAGACTTGGTACATTCTAAGTCCTGTCGCCGACATCGTAGTCGGCATCGTCAATGAGCCTTGCCATTCTTAGCACCACACTAAAACTCGTCAAAGAGACAAGTGAAGTCGATCCTTTAAGCAATTGTCTGCTAAATAGTTTTGGTATCTCTCCTTCTGTCCTGGGCTTGGGAATGTACCACGTCCATGATTCAACTTTGGAAACCATCATGCAGACAATGGACTCCGGACAAGTTGCGTTCCTCTAAGTCTTTTTACCAATATGACCATGCTGCGAAAACAAGGTCAAACAACTTCTCTACAACAAAAGGAGACTGCGACCACACAAAAGGTCACACCATCTTGGTCTTCATACCTTCGATTAAAATATGGAAGTAATATTGCCAAACAATGCACTGATTATAGCCGGACAAAGAAGACAATTGTAAGTCAATCCTGCCATTTGGCCTTTTTGAATTGTTGCAAACATTATGGTATCGCTCCCCGATTCTGAGGAAGTGTCATTCTGACACACTGAATGAAATTCTTTATAACGCTTCCATGCAGAAATGGGAGGAAAGTTACGAAACCGAAAGGTGTAAGCTATTTAAGTTCATAGATCTCAAATCTAGATTAAAGAAGGATTTAGGTAGGGTTCTCGCCTTGGATGATTTTCAAAAACCTCCAGAGCATGACCGATCAGAAGTCACAGAGGGCCTGGCGTCTGATAAATAAGCGACATGACAAGAAATTGCTTAGCTATGGGATAATAAGACAATACAAAGCCAAGCCAACCCGGGAAAATTGTGATGGTTCTCTATTAAAGGCATCAACTGCTTCAGTCGACGATAGGATAAAGGTTGTAAACCTATCTCAAATCCGTCTTGATTCTGAAACTACGGATCTCTTAAAAAAGGGGTTACATTTTTCATCAGGTAATGAAGAAAATGTTCTTAGTGATATCCTGGTGGAAGTTGTGAACATAACGGATAAATATCCAGAAGATACAGGGCGGGAGATGAAACTGAAAATAATCCTACGGATCCTGACACATCAAGAACCGATAAAATGGAGCAGATTGGCTGGTATTCGTAAAAAATTACAAAAGAATGATCAAATAGTTCTTCAGGCCGATAAAGGAGCGATTGTTATAATCGACAGGAAATATTACACGGAGAAAATGGAAAGTATCCTAGGCGATCGGAACACTTAGCAAATACTAAGGAAGGATCCAACCACGAAGATCAACGGAACTGAAGAATATGCTCAAGGAAATGCATACAAATGGGGAAATTGAAGATCAACAGCACACTGAAGAATATGCTTAAGGAAATGCATAATAATGGAGAAATTGACAAATGGATGATTAAATCTTTAATATTAAAAAAATGACGCAAGACCACCGACAGCCTACGGACTACCGAAGATACACAAGGAAGGAAATCCTCTAAGTGACACAAGCCAACCGACAGGCTACGGACTGCCAAAGATACACAAGGAAGGAAATCCCCTAAGACTAACAGTCAACAACAAGCATGGAGCAATGCATAAACTAACGAAATTCATTTGCTCAATAAAGTAAATGACATACTCTTGAATAACGTCAAGAATTCATATGCATTTTCTCAAAGGATCCAGTACGTTTGGGAATGTACCACGTCCACGGTTCAACTTTGGAGATGATAATGCAGACAATGGACTCCGGACTA